ATATTATTGAAAACAAAAATATATTGTTTCTTATTTTTTTTTATTTGGAGTGAAAATCATTACCGTACAACGTGGAGTTCGTACATAACATTCCATACAATCGATTAAATTCACAGTCACTTCTGTTGTACGAATTTGTTGACTTAAATAGCGTTCATTTGTTTCACTATCCATAGACGATGAACTACTTGATTGACTTGATGGTGCAGATGTCTGTTATGAGGAAAAAAATTTAAAAAAATGTACATATGTAAAAAAATAATAATGTTGGAGACTTGTGTCAGTGATGGTTGTTCTTGAATATTGTTCTTATATGTTTCAAAGATGATTTCTAACCAAGATCATAAATAAAAAAAAAAGAATTCAATATGTATCAGTAAATATATTCAATACCTTGTGAACGTTGTCGTTCTGATTGTTTTTCTTGTGAATGAGTAGACATGGTATAAATTCAGAGTAAATGTTGAACAAATATTTCTACAAAATAAAAAAAAAGAAGCATATTCATTTCCATTACTTGATATATGATTAAATTATTTATTAATTAAAAAAAAAATTAAAAAAAAGGTTGGAAATCAATACAGTCTATTTAGTCGGAAAGAGTATTACAAAAAAACATAATGTCTACATGTATTCTAACCACATTAAACGTTTTTTTTCTATTTATTTTATTGTTTTATATTCAAAAAAAATTGTCTATGTGGTTACAGTACACTTGTTTGAGTATTGAACATGTTGAATTCCACATAACCAAAGTACCAGTTCCTATTGAAAGTTCATGTTCTCGAACCATAATATCTTTGAATTAAACTATATCTACAACAAAAGAAACACAATGAGAAGTTTCATTTCAAATGAAAACAAAATAAAAACGAAAACAAAAACAACAAATATATAGTAGATAGATAAACGAATAGTTTAGAAGTTCAAATACAAAAAACAAACACAAAAAAAAAGACTAATGTTCATAGAGTAACGGACGGTTTGTCCATTCCTAATAAAGTATTTAAGGAATGAAAGTTCTTAGCATTCAACATAATTTTGCACTTTTCTTCTGATAAAGTTGGATGTTGTTGAAAGTATTGATGCCAAAGTTGACGAAATTCTCGATTAAAACGACATTTGGGACCAAAATCATATATATAATGGAATTGAAATAAACAATTGGTATCATCTGATTTTTGAAGCTGTTGTGATAATTCCTGTCGTTGTTCAACAAATTTAAAGCATTGTTGACGAAATTTATCATAGTTGTTTTGATTATATGAAAAACGCATTGTTTCAGAATAAAAATAATTAAAAAAACGCTTCACATGAGTTTCAACAAATAATACAGAATAACCATTGATAAGATAAGTTATTTCAAGATAAACTCGTTCTTGTTGAAAATCATCCACCGATGTACAATAACAGACAGCACGAATTAAAGCTAAGAAAAGCCATTCACTATATGATAATTTGGTGTGACCGATAACATAGGGTAATATATAACGTGGCATATTAAAATCATGATGAACCCGACTATATAATTGACCATGTCGATTTTCAATATAAGCATTGAGAAATGAAACACTTGGACCAATTAATTTTTGAAAACGAACATTTCGATGTTTTTCTCGAAGATCTTCGAGAAATGTTTCCAATGCTATAGCAGTTGATTTATTCCATGTAAAGAATATTTGATCTTTATATCTACAACAATCACAATAGGTATCTATTGAATTGTAAAACAAATGTGTCTACCTTCCAAATAATTCAATGTTTTGATTTACTTCTTTCAATATTTTCTTTTGCCAGACAAATAAATAAATGTTCGATAATGTTTCTGTTAATGGTATTGTGTTTGGACTTCCTTTGGTGAATTTATAAACACTATTCTTATATGAAAAAATATTGTTATGAAGAAATAAATGTAATAGATTTCGAATTGTTTGAATTGTTAGTGGTTCAAGCTTGTTCGTAGCTAAATTATCTTGTAAAAAATAACCAATAACATCGATCATTTCTTTATGTTCATCTAATGTACAGAAGTTGGTTATTTTAATCGTACAAAATATAGTCGATGGACGAAGACGACGTTCAATTGCTGCATAACGATATAATTTTCGAATAAAATCAGTTTCATCAGTAAATGCAGTTGAACGTAATACTCCATCAACATAAGGTCGTAATAGTTTATTTAAATATTTGGCTATTTTCCATGTTGCACTATATTGGGATGTAACAATAGGTAGTAACGACATCACATTTTCCTAAGTGAATATGAAACAACAAATAAAATAAAAAAAAAGAACAATTTGAAGGTTTATTTACATTTGATACATTTGGTAGAAAATATAAATATGGTAGTTTGATATTCGTTGGATCAGCCATGAATTGTTTATATAAATCAATGGTAATGGCTTTATGTGTTTTTAATTGTTCTAATAAAGAATTCATTGATTCAATCATGTCTTTTATAGCAACATTCAATGGTTTTTCATTAATGACATTATTGACATCAAACAAAATATCATAATCTTCCGATGTTAATAAATATCGATCGGCTTTTTTTTCAAATTCTTCCTTATTTCCCATGTAGAATATATTCATATTATCAGCAGTTCTTCGTAAAATAATATTATGTTTCTTGAGAGAACTTCGAATGGATTCAATTAATTTTTTTTCATATTGTGCACGTTGAGAGAGATCCGATGGAATGGATTTGGAAAATAAATCTTTAAATAAATCGTACACTTTCTTATGAATTTCCATTTGTAAATTTAAATTAAGTTTATATTTTAAAAATAAGTTATTAAGTTGATGTTTCAATGGAGCATATTGTTTCTTGACAATGTCACCCATAGATTCATATGATAATGACGTATATATTAAACATGGTGGTGCATAACTTGGACCACGACTTAATAATTGTAGTTGTTTGTCATTGAATGGATGTTGTACATCGATAATGATGGAAGATGAAGGTGACATAATTTTAACATATTGTGTTATTTCATCCTGATTTATATGATCGAATTCATCATAAGCATTTTGAAGATAATAATCGATTCGATAATTGTAAATATCTCTCCATCGATTCGTAATATTAGTAAGACGTTTTTCGAGTAAACTAATTAATGATGTTGTCATTCCTTGATCTTTAACAAAGTTACGATGGTTTTTCCACGTCAAAGATAATTCAGAATCGAATTGAGCTTGAAATCGATAATAAGTTACTTCTGCTTGTGGTAAATGTAAAGCTATTAAATCAAGTTTCTTACATCGAAGTTGATATTCATATTTATTAAGAAATTTTTGTTGTTTTCCTTGATTATTCAAGTTCATATCATTGAGAGTTGACGTCGACATTTGAATAGAATCGAATGAGACCGATGATTTATTGAAGAATACACCTTGTTTCAATTCCATTAATGNCTTTATTAATATATATATTCTAATTTTTATTTAGATTCAGCAAATGGATGATTTAATGGTAGGTTTTATTTCATATATATATTCATATTCTGATTTTTATTTAGATCTATCTAATCAATGATTTAATGGTAAGCTTTGATTTATTGATATATGTATTCTAATTTTTGTTTGTGTGCAATGATATAACAATGTATCTAGAAAAAGAATGGATAACTATAGGAACTATAGAATACAATGAATATATGTACAATAGTAGAAGAAACAAAATGACAAAAAACAGATAACATAAAGAAAAAAAACGTTGTTATGGTTTGAACATCTCGATTGTAGCTTAACATTATCATCAGACGAAATATTATAATACATATGAAGAATATAAGTACAAATGTGATGAAATAGATAGTTTCCTATTTTATCACCCTGTTACTTGTGGTCATGGTAAATCAATAGTAATACGAGTATTCATTAGATTGTAATCATCTAAATAATCTATGGGACCATCATTTTCTTCTTCTTTCTCTTCTACAATTTCTGATGTTGCTCGATTGTCTTGTATTTGTGATGCTATTTCTTGTTCTTCTCGATACTCTTGTATTTCACGTTCAACATTTGTTTGAGTATGCGAATTGAAATCATATAATTGTGGTTCAATCTGAAATTTGATGAATTTAAGAAGAAAATATTCAATGAAGTTGACGTAGGTGAAGTTAGCCTCATATTCGAGTGAATCCAGCCAAGATTCGGCGCCAAAGCTGCCCTAACTGCGCCAGACAGCGCCAGTATACAACTCGACGAGCTCTATCCATTGTTGACTTTGAATTTTTTCTAGCTTGAACCATTCGCGCAAAAATCCCAAAATCCTAGGTTTTTCCTAGGCAAATTTTAGCAAATGGATAGTAAATCCAGCCAAGATTCGGCGCCAAAGCTGCCCCAGCTGTGCCAGACAGCGCCAGAATACAGCTCATCGAGTTCTGCTTCGAACACGAATAGAACACCTGAAACATCTTCCTGGGTGAATCGATAGTACTTTTACTTTACTGGGCTCCTAGTTTCTGTAGCGAAATACCAGTAATTTCAGATTTTTACGACTATTGTTTGAGCTATGAAATATCTGATTACAGCATTGAACAGAGCTCATCTAGTTGTAATTGGAACACAGATGGAAGACCTGGAACATATTCCTGAAGGAATCCCCGATAGTTTTACTATATAACCTGTCATATTTAACCGATGTTTTCGCATTTTAGAACACATACTTAGAGCTATGGAAAATCTACTTATTCCAATCGATAGAGCTCATCAAGTTCTAATTTGGAACTCTCTGGAGCAGCTGGAGCAGCTTCCTACAAGAATATCGGCTGATTTTAGTAACCAATTGATAGGAGTCATATGCTAATAAATTAGTATTTTCGAATTTTTCCACAAATGGTTGCAGCTATGGAGAATCGAACGTTACCAATCGAGAGAACTCATCGAGTTCTATTGTGGAACTGTCTGGAGTAGCTTCCTGGAAGAATGTCGGCTGGGTTTATCAACCATGTGGTAAGATTAGCCTAGGAAAAAATTAGTATTTTGGGATTTTTTTACGAATGGTTCAAGCTAGGAAAAATTCAAAATCACCAATGGATTGAGCTCGTCGAGTTGTATACTGGCGGTGTCTGGCGCAACTGGGGCAGCTCTGGTGCCGAATCTTGGCTGGATTTACTATCCATATGCTAAAATTTGCCTAGGAAAAACCTACGATTTTGGAATTTTTGCACGAATGGTTCAAGCTAGGAAAAATTCAAAGTCACCAATGGATAGAGCTCGTCGAGTTGTATATTGGTGCTGTCTGGCGCAGCTGGGGCAGCTTTGGCGCCGAATCTTGACTGGATTTACTCGAATATGAGGCTAACTTCACCTACGTATGAAGTTGCTCTTCTTTTTATCTTATGCATCTGTACCTTATATCGTAATTTTAACATAACACTTCATACAATCAAACAAAACAATCTTCACATCTCTTGTTCGAAGTCATTGATTGTAATTATTATCTTCATTTTCATTTGTTGTCGATGATGCTCTCATAGCATGATTTGATGACTGCTGAAACAAGAGCAAATATACTTATTTGATATCATGTATTTTCTTGATCGTTTACCTCAATTAAGAATTGTTGATATTGATCATCATTTCTTACATGTTCTACTAGAATCATCTAAAGAGAATTAGAAACAGAGATCCATTAAGACTTGATGATTAAATATACAATACCATTAGGAACAACTAATTGACGTTGTTCTTGTGATCCATCAGACATAGTTTCGGGAGTCAGATGATTGTTTTAAAAATGATATCTATAAGAAATAGAGAAAGAAAATTTATTCTATTGAATTATAAACAACAAGTTCTTAGAAGATTTCTAACAATGAAAGAGTTACATGTCTCTTTATTTTATATTTATTTTCAACAATATGTGTCATACACAAAAAAAACAAAAACATACATAAATAATTACAAAGATGACCAGAAAGCTTGATGTCTTTTTCCATAGTTGGTGTTTTTTCATCTAAATCAGTATTGAAAAGAACTATTACTAAGATAATATCAGTTACCCCAACTTCACTTACTTATGTTTCTATTCGATCAAGTTTTAATACCACCACTAATTTAGTCACTGTCAAACAATCATTAACAGCATATTGAATCATCTGTTGAATGATTTTCTTTTCTTTAAAGTTCATTACAGCAGATTTATTATCATTGATCATATCAAGATTTCGACTCCATCTACTTTTGATCTGACTATTATCGAGCAATTTATGGCATGCATAAGCTATAGCCATTTGAAGTGACCATTTATGATTAAAGTTTTCGTTGGATTGATGTGAACGTGCACGTAGTCTTTTATCAATATCCAATGGAAGACGAATGCGTTCATGTTTAACTTTTCTATTGTGCCATTTTTTAATGTTTTTGTATGTCTATATTATTTATTTGTTGGAGTTGGTCAGATGGTAAAAGTTCACATGAAATAAATTTATCCAATTCATTCTTGGCATCATCCCATGAATATATACAATTGGATGGATTCAAGATCACTTTCAGAAGTGATCTTATTAGCCAAAATATCACTGATGCTGCTTGTGGTAAATGATGCACTTCAATTAATAGTACGATGGACTGATGTTGTATGAATTCAATTTGAATTAGTGATGGTCGATGTGTGTAATAATCATCTTCAGTATCAATGATGAATCGAATTGTTTTTCTTCCTTGTTCAATTAAATCATGTAGTAGAATAGAAGACGTTGATTGATTGATATGATAGATATAATAATCATTTAATGGATTAAATATTGGTAAAACACTTAATGTCATATTTAATTCACGTTTTCGAGCATTTTGGTTCATTTTTTTCCCTGAGAAAGATTATTTCTTAGTTTCTAAATAAAGCAAAATTAACATACCTATGTATATTCGATAGATATTTTGCTAGTTACTTGAAGAAGAAAATTGAATTTTATATCGAAATAGACGATATAATTAATTACTAAAAGCTTTCCAAAGATATTATCTACAAAATGAAAAATAATGAAAAGTTTCTTTTCAAAGACAAAGCTATACAACAAAAAAAAACAAAGAAATAGAAATAATGGTAAGTCAATAGTATACGATTCAAAATATACAAAAACAAAAAATTTTATGTCATAACAACGATGAATTAATGTAGTCTAACATAGTTGAAAAACAAAAGCCGTCATTGTTGAACTGTAGTATATGGTGGTTTGTCTGTTGCTAATAATGTATTTAATGAATGAAAATGTTTAGTTGTTGGGATAAATTTTGAGTTTTTTTGTGATAGAGTTGGATGTTATTGAAAATAATGAAACCAAAGTTGATAAAAATCTCGATTGAATCGACATCTTGAACCAAAATCATAAATATAATTGAATTGAATTAAACGACCATTATTATCAAATTTTTGAAGTTGTTCTGAAAGTTCATGTTGTTGTTCAACGAACTTAAACCATTGTGGACAAAATTTATCATATGTGCTTTGATTTGCTGAATACCGCATAATTTGAGCATGAAAATAATTGAAAAAATGTTTGACATGAGTTTCAACAAATAATAATGAATAACTATTAATAAGATAAGTTAATTCAAGATAAATTCGTTCTTGTTGAAAATCATCGACTAATGTACAAAACCTACAGCATGAATTAAAGCTGATCGTAGCCAATTACTATGAGCTGATTTTGAATGACCCATAACATATGGTAATGTATAACGTGGAATGTTAGGATCATGATTAACTGACTATATAATTGACCTTGTCGATTTTCGATATGAGCATTAAGAAATTGTACATTTGTACCAATTAATTTTTGAAAATGTACATTCCAACGTTTTTCTCGAATATCTTCTAAAAATGTTTCAAGTTCGAGAGCACTTGATTTATTTCATGTAAAAAATATTGGATCTTTATATCTAAAACGTTTCATTTCATACAATAGATATTTAAATTTAAAACTAAATGAAACATATTTGGATAAATTATCTTCCGAAAAATTCTATATTTGTATCCATGACTTTTAATATTTTCTTTTGCCATACAAATAAATAAATATTTGATAACGTTTCTGTTAATGCCATAGCATTTGGAGTACCTTTTGTAAATGTATAAATGTTATCTATGTAACAAAAGATATTATTGTAAAGAAATAAATATAATAGATTTCGAATAGTTTGAATTATTAATGATTCAAGTTCGTTGGTTGCTAAGTTATCTTGTAAAAAGTAACCAATGACATCGATCATATTTTGATGTTCATCTAATGTGTAAAAATTAGTTATTTTAATTGCACAAAAGATAGTTGTTGGACGAAGACGACGTTCTGTATTGGCATAATGATTGAATCTTTGAAAAAAATCAGTGTCATCAGTAAATTTTGTTGATTGTAAAATTTCATCGACAAACGGTCGTAATAATTGATTTAAATATTTACCAATTTTCCATGCTGCACTAGATCGTGATGTAATAATAGGTACTAAAGAAATGCCATTTTCCTAGATGAATCAGAAAAAGAAAAGTTGATAAGTGAAAAAAGAAAGAGAAAACTAGAAGTGTTTTATTACCTTGGATATATTTGGTAAGAAATATAAATAAGGTAGTTTGATTTTACTTAGATCAGCAACTAATCGTTTGTATAAATCATCACTCACTGCTTTATGAGTTTTTAATTTTTCGAATAAAGAATTCATTGATTCAATCATTTCTTTTAATGCTCCATCGAATGATTTTTCATTATTTTCATCATTGATATTAATTAGAACTTTGTAATCGTCTGATCTTGTTAAATATTTATCAGCTTTTGTTTCAAAATCTTGAATGTTGCCCACATAGAATGTATTCATATTATCAGCAGTTCTTCGTAGAATAAGATTATTTTTCTTTAAAGAATATTGAAATGATTGAATTAAATTCTTTTCATAGAGAGCACGTTGATATAGATTCGACGGTATTGGCTTTGAAAAAACATTTTAAAATTCTTTATAAGTTTTATCTTGAATTTCTATTCGTAAAGATAAACTAATCTTATATTTTCCAAAAAGATTGATTAATTGATGTTTGAATGATGCAAATTGTTTCCTGACAGTATCGTCCATGGATTCATTTGAAAATAAGATATACATTAAACATAGTGATACATAACTTGGTCCATGACTTAATAATTGTAATTGTGTATCATTGAATCGATATATGGTATCAATAATGATTGAAGATGAAACTGAAACAATTTTCATCATTTGTTCAATTTCGTTGATATTCTTATGATCCAATTCATCATAAGAATTTTGTAGAAAATAATCAATTCTATAGTTATAAACATCTCTCGAACAATTAGTAATATTATTGAGACGTTGTTCAAGTATATTGATTAATGTTGCAGTCATTCCTTGATTTTTAACAATATTACGATGATTTTGCCACATTTTAGATAATTTATAATCGAATAGATTTTGAAATCGATAATAGGTTTGTTCAGCTTGTGATATATGTATAGCTAATAAAGCAAGTTTCTTCCATCGAATTTGTTTTTCATATTTCTTTAATAATTGTTGTTGTTGCAGTTTGTCATTATTAATGGTAGTATTATTCGAAGTTGGCATTGATACTTGAATAGAATCGAATGAGATAGATGATTTATTGAAGACGGCCTCTCGTTTTAATTCTAATAATGCTCATTTCGATTTTTCAACATTTCATCTCATATTAACAAGACGTGCAGCAACTTCCATCTATATGACAATAACAAAAATGAAACATGAAATTTTCAAACAATTTCAAAGAAAATATTCTTTTCTTACTTAATATTGATTTGGTGTCTCTTGTAAATATTTTCGTTCAAGTATTTCTGATTCATAACTATACATAACTATTGCTTTTTTCAACTGATGTTTCATTTCAAGTGGTTTAATTCTATATTCTTGTACATAGATTTGTATAGCTTCATCCATGTCGTATGTAAATTAAAATAAAGAATTCTTCTTTTGAATTAATTCTCCTTCAGAAAGATCAATTTCTAAATTCATTTCTTCTAAACGTTCACGAATTAGATCTTTACAAGCAGCTTGTTGATTATTTTGATTTGTTTCGATTGTCATCTTTGATTTAACTTTTTTTTGTTGCCATGAGTGATTGAACTTGCATCGCCCCAACTCGTCGATAGACTTCTATTAAATCATATTCTGGTTGCATCAACGTACCCGTTACTGATTGTAAATAGATAGTTGTGATCTCTCTTTTTAAACGAAGAGCAGCAACTTGATGCATTAATAAAGCCAATTTTTGTATATCATTCATACTAATAGATTGAACATTTTTCATTATGTTTTTCATCATATGAACAAATGCTTTATTATTCATTGATAAATACTTTGGTATTTGATCTCGTATCGTATAATTATCATTAATATCATCATCTTCATTACTGTCGTTATCAGACATTTTCATTTTCATTGAACTTACATTTGGACTAGCTGCAAAATTTAAACGCCGTTTTTTATCACTGGTAATTAATGAATTAATTTCATGTTGATCTGTTGTTGATAATTGACTTAATTTTTGTGATAAATGGGTGTGGAATGGGTGTGGGTGTGATTCCTATTTTACTTCTCGGTCACTCCCACACCCACACCCACACCCACACCCGGAATAACCAGAAGGTGTTTATTACCCACTTATCGCTGGTTATAATGTCTATTAGAATTTTTCACCTTGTATAATAGGCCATTTATTAGTATATATGGATTCCGCTTGTCGTTGAAAACCGGATTCGTGTTTTGTTGTAGTTTTCCTATAATATAGTTCAACTTTGGATCATTCGGCTGTTGTATTCTGAGTTCGTCGAGAATATTTGTGTTCTCCCATAAGTTGATTGCTGTTTCCATTGTTAAAAATTCTGGGCGACTATTGTCTGTATCGTGTACCGGATTTCGAGAAAGTGAATCTGCATTTGTATTTTGATGTGCCGGCCGGTAATGAATGCTTTCGATTTGATACGTAGAGAGCTTCATTGCCCATCGAGCTATTCGGCCAGTGACGTCTTTGGCGTTTCTCATCCATTCAAGGGCTTTACAATCCGATCGAATGAGTACTTTACTTCCTTCGATGTATACTGGGAAATGCTTGGTGGCCCATACTATAGCGAGTGCTTCACGTTCCGTTGCGCCGTATTTTCTTTCGATGGTCGACAATGTTCGGCTAGCGTACCCAATGACATATTTTGCATTGTCGTACTCTTGAGTGAGTATTGCGCCCAAGCCATATTCACATGCATCAACCTCGAGTATGAATGGTTGTTCGAAGTTAGGAGTGTTTAGGATTGGGGCTGTTGTCAATTTTTCTTGATATATCTACGATAATTACTGGTCAGACCAAGGAATGATTGTACATCCTTGACTGTTCTTGGTAAAGGGAATTCGACCACTGCTTTTATCAATCCTGGATCAGATTTGATTCCTTCGCAAGTAATAATATGCCCAAGATATTTTGTCTTCCGTCGACAAAAATGACATTTTGACACTTTTAATGTCAGGTTAGCGGCACGCAAGGCTTCAAATACCTTCGTGAGGTGTTGAAGGTGTTCTTCGAAGGAAGTTGAATATATGATTACATCGTCTATATATACGAGACAGCATTGCCATTTCAGTCCAGCTAGAACAATATCCATCAGTCGTTGAAATGTCGCTGGGGCGTTTGTCAGTCCGTACGGCATAACTTTGAATTCAAATAGTCCTTTGTGAGTGATGAAAGCTGTTTTCTCGCATGACTTCTCATCCATTTCGACTTGCCAGTAACCTGTTCGTAGGTCTAGAGTCGAAAAGAATGTGGCTTCTTGTAGTGAATCAAGTGTATCGTCTATCCTTGGTATAGGATACGCGTCACGAATAGTTGATGCATTTAACTTCCGATAGTCAATGCAAAATCGGAGAGTCCCATCTTTTTTGGGCGCTAACACGACTGGAGAAGCCCAAGGACTGTTTGGCGGAGTTATGACTTCTTGTTTCAACATATCTTGTAAATTTTCTTCAATAATCTGGCGTCGAGCGGGGGCATACCGATATGGTGGTGAATTGAACGGTCGAGATTCCGGTAGTAACTTTATTTCATGTTTGACTTTGGAAGTTCACCCCGTTTTTTCACTAAATATGTCAGGAAAAGCTTGGATTAATTTTAGCAGCTGCCACTTCTGAATCTCATCTAAGTCAGTGTTCACCAAGTTTGGTTCAATCGAAGCTATTTCTGGTGGACCAATGTGGCTTGGTGGCTTATCCTGATTCACCATCTTTACTTGGATCTCCGTCAGACGGGTCATTGTAGCTAATGGTTGTCCGATGTGCACCATAATCGTTCTTCCCGTTAGGTTAGCAGCTTGAATCTGCAGATTGTCTCGCAGAATAACGATCCCGTTTGGGACACATAGAGATTCGCTGATTGAATTGATTTCGTATTCGTGCGTGTCATCATGGCAAATCAAAAAACGTCTGTTTGGTCGTACTCGAATATAAAACACGTGTGCTGGTGGAATTTTCAACCGTTGATCCGCTAAGAGAATGTACTCGTCGTCGTCGTTACCATTCCTCTTCACATCGAAACGCTCTTTAGGCTTTTTCAGGCGTGTTCGTTTAAAATAGGCGATTTGTCTTCGCCCATCAACATGTAGATTATGCTTTCGAATGAGGTCGTTCCCAATAATACATTGTCGCGACAGTTTTGGAACGACATACACTGTGTGAGTTCGAGTGGAATGAGCGATAGTGATCGACAATGAGAGAACGAATTGGACGTTTAATCGAGACCTATCGGCCAATTGCAAGTGTAATGGTGACCTGGGAGTTCGAGCTTGTTGACGAAGATGAAGAGGTAGCTGTGCGAATAATATTTTATTGATGAGTGTTAGTGAGGCACCAGAGTCAATTAGTAAGCGTATTGGTAATCCAGCGATTTTTCCGGGTACCGGAAGGGGACTGAAGTTTGGAAAATTTATTGTATTAGTAGAAATTGTCTTTTTGACGGGTTGTATAATGGGTGAGCGCTGTTGTCCCGTCTTCACAGGGCTTCCGGCTCGTTTTTTGGTTTCGATATCATGGTTTTCCATGGATAACTATTTGGGTCATTTTTCGGGCAATTACCGGTTGAATGTCGGAAGAGTTCGCAGCTATAGCATTTGGTTGCACCCGTTGGTTGAGTTTTGGGTCGGTGCGTAAATGGTCGTCCACTATGGTTTGAGTTTTGCGATAGCTTTCCTGAGTAGCCTCCGTATGTTGAATCATTTTTGGTTCGTGGAGGTGGAGTCATTCTGCTGTTTGTAAGATGTTTGTTTCCCCTATTTACTAGCTGTTTGTGCTTGTCGATCGGATTATTTTTGGAACTTCTACTGCTGTCTGGTGTAGCATCTTGAAACGAAACTTGTTTCAAATATTCAGTTCGACGTTGTTCCTCCTTGCGACGATACAGAATTTCTTCGACTTTTTGGGCCTCAGTCATAATTTCATCGAGTGAAGCCCCTCGGGAGACTCCGATCATCGTGAGTAGATCACTACGCATTTTGCATAACAAATGCTTGACTAAATCGACTTCGGTTTCTTTTGGTTTTTGTTCTGACCATATCGCACGTAGACGGACCAGGAATTCGTTGATCGTTTCGTCTTCTTTTTGTCTGGATTCGTACCATTCTTGTTCTTGACGCGCTTTTCGTATGGGCGAGTTGAATTGTGCCAGAAATAGGTCGACGAATTCTGTCCAGGTTTCGGGTCGTCGATGAGAAGCTCTTAGCTGACAGTACCATTCCAGAGCGGTTTCTCGTAATAATTGTGAGATGCCGTGGAGCAGGTTAATTCTGTCTCAACCGTGGACCGTTTCAGCGTATTCTTGCACTCGAACTAGAAATTGTTTTGGGCGTTCGGAATGTTTGCCAGCGAAAGTCGGCATTGCCGATGTTGGTGGTATCACGATTGCGTGAGGCATTAACGGCATGACTGGGGTGTTCGAGGCGTGAGCTACATACTCATTAACACGTCCTGTTTGGAAAGGATTGTTCGATGTTGATAACGTTGGAATAGAGTGTTCGACATGAGTACTTCCGTGTTCACTTAAAGTAAATTGTACTGGTTGTTCTTCTTTTTTCAATTCGTCCAGCTGTTGCAAGACTATCCATAATAATTGATGATATTCCTCGAGTTTCACTATTGTTTTAGCGTGCCATTCCCCAGTCTCGGCTTGTGTCTCGTCAATTTGACTCGACAGATCTTCGCGAAGCCTAGTTATAGCTGTCGACATCTCTTCGTGTCGAGTAGCATTCGTGCTGTGAATTTCTTTGAATTGATTTTACAATTGTGTCACACGATCTGTAATACGTGAACATGTTTCTAATAGGTGGTGAACAGCTTTTTCCGCTGCCATAGTCGTTAACGTATCGATTTACTGACTTTGAAATATTGATCAGAGTTGCAGTTGTTGATACTTCTTATTCGTTCCTCCTGCCACGGTCGCCAATTGTAACGAAAAATTAGATATGGTCGTATTATATATATATAATTAAATGAACGTATATAATTGTGACTTGAAGGATGCACAACACAAGCAACACTACACCGTGTTAATTTATTTGAAAAGATAAGACACGGATATACAATGTTTAATGTAAGAAGACATGGCACACAATCGACTTGAGTTAATGGGTGTCTCTATAACGTTATGAGGGTGGGTGTGGGTGTGGGGTGTGGGTGTGTGTGGGTGTGNTAATAATTGATTTAAATATTTGCCAATCTTCCATGTTGCACTCTGTTTTGATGTAATAATTGGTACTAATGTAATATCATTTTCCTGAATAAATCAAAATGAAAAACGAGTGAATAACTGAAATGTTTTTTACCTTTGATACATTTGGTAAGAAATATAAATTTGGTAGTTTAACTTTAGTTGGATCAACAACTAATCGTTTGTATAAATCCTCTTTGATGGCTTTATGTGTTTTCAATTGTTCCAATAGAGAATTCATTGATTCCATCATATTTTTTAATGCAGTATGCAATGGTTGTTCATTAATTTCTTCATCCATATTGATAAGAACTTTGTATTCTTCTGATTTTGTTAAATATTTATCGGCTTTAGCTTCAAAATCTTGAATGTTGCCCACATAGAATGTATTCATATTATCAACTGTTCTTCGTAGAATAAGATTGTTTTTGTTTAAAGAATATCGAATCGATTGAATTAGTTTCTTTTCATAGAGAGCACGTTGATAAAGATTCGATGGTATTGATTTTAGAAATAAATCTTTAAATCTATTATAAGTTTTTTCTTCCATTTCAATTGTTAAAGGTAAATGAATCTTATATTTTGAAAATATATTCATTAATTGATGTTTTAATGGTGCATATTGTTTCTTTACGATGTCACCAATGGATTCATTTGAAGACGAGATATACATTTGACATGGTGGCACATAAGCTGGCCCACGACTTAATAATTGTAATTGTTCATTTGTGAATCTATATGTAGTATCAATAATTAGAGAAGATGAAAATTCAACTATTTTCATAGTTTGTTCTTTTTCATTGGTATTCTTATATTGCAATTCATCATAAGAATTTCGAAGAAAATAATCGATTCTATAATTGAAAACATCTCTCCATCGATTGGTAATATTATTTAGATGTTGTTCAATTAAATTGATTAATGATGTAGTCATTCCATGATCTTTAACAAGATTACGATGATTTTTCCACATTTTAGACAATTCATAATCGAATATGTTTTGAAATTGACAATAAGTTGTTTCTGCTTGTAATATATGTATAGCTAGTAAATCAAGTTTCTTATATTGAATTAGTTTTTTATGTTTATGAAGTAATTGTCCCTGAACTTTTTCTTTCATTATTGTATTATTATTCCAAGTTGGCATCGATACTTGAACAGAATCAAATGAAATAGATGATTTATTGTAGAAGATTCCTTGTTTTAATTCTAATAATGCTCGTTTGGATTTTTCGACTTCACGTTTTGTATCAATTAGACGTTTAGCAACTTCAATCTGTATGAGAGTAACAAAAGAAAACATATGAAATTTGTATTAGTTTTAAAGAATATATATTCTTTTCTTACTTGATATTGATTTGGTGTCTCTTGTAAATATTTACGTTCGAGTATTTGTGATTCATAATTATATGTAACTATTGCAATTTTTAAATCACGTTTCATTTCAAGTGGTTTAACTCCATATTCTTGAACATAGGTTTGTATGGATTCTTCCATTGTGGATGTAAATCCAATTAATGAATTCTTCTTTTCATTTAGTTGTCGTTGATAATGTTCAATGTTTTGATTCATATCTTGTAAACGTTGATGGAGAATTTGTTCACAAATGAGTTGTTCATCTTCTGTATGTGTTTCCATGATTGTTGTAACAATTGGACTCGGTGTCATTGTCAATTTACGATGTGTTAACAAGAATGATTTCACTTGCATAGGCCAAACTCGTCGGTCAACTTCGATTAAATCATTTTCTGATTCTTGTAATGTACCAGTGACTGACTTTAAATATATTTCTGTGATTTGTTTTTGTATATGAAAAGCTGCAATATGATGCATTGACACAGCCAATTGTTGTATATCATTCGTACTAATGGAATGAATTGTTTTTATTGTATTTTGTGCCATATGAACAAATGATTTATTGTTCATTAATAAATAGATTGGTATTTGATCTTGTTTTGTATCGTTATTATCAATATCATCATCAATATCATCATCATCAGTCATTTTAATTTTCTTGAAACTTGCATTTGAACTAGCTGTGGTACTTAATCGTCGTTTTCTATCAACAGTCGAAGATGAAGTAGTTTCATTTTCATTTTTTGTCGATAATTGACTTAATTTTTGTGATAAAATAGTTTCTTCGTCTTGCTCTTCTTCTTCTTCTTCTTCTTCTTCTTCTTCTTCTTGGATAATCTAAACGATGCAAAAAGAACAGTAAACATTTTCGTTATTTCTTATTCATCATCGAAATCGAATTACTTCAATATGATCAGAATCATTGAGAATATCATCTTCGATGATTTCTTCTTCGTTTATCGTTGACTTTAAATGGCCTGATTGGAAGTAACGATTTAATTCATCTGTTGTATATTGAAGTCCATCATTCGTGTCATCAATAATATCAAAAATATCCTTGTATGGTTTTACATTTTTCCATGTTTCGTTAACTATTG